CTAACTTCAAGACCGAGTAGGCAGCTAAGATGTTTGAGTCATGCACCTGTCTTAACTTCAATAACAGATTTATTGGGGTGCTTGCATATTTGCACAAGGTTTCCTCCTGACAGTGACTCCCCCAGGTCAAGAGGCCACGAGGTGAGCAGAGTGGGAAAGAACTCGAAACCGTGTGCATTTGTGAGGCACGCCAGGAAGAGGCGACTTAGAGCCTGACAGTCCACAACACAGGGTTGGTGATGGTGGCATTTTTATTTACAGAGGACGACACCCAGGCTTGGGAAGGTTAGGTAACGTGCCCCAGGTCGCACAGTGGTAAAGCCTGGTGGACCAGGATACAGATTTAGGTTTCCAGCCATCAGGCCAAGAGTTCTCTCCAATATACCACCGCTTGCAAGAAAAGACTGCCTGGAATTAAATCTTTGTGAAAGATTATTGTCTTACTTCTGGGAAACGCCACACCCAAACCATTTTTTAGGGACAAAGCGTTTGCTTTGAAGATGCTCTCTCTCTGTTCATTCAAATAGGAATTAGGCCACATAACTGGCATTGAGAAATAGGTATGTTTAGTTTCAACAAAAGGATCATGATTGTATTAATCTACTGACTAACAGGCATGAAGAAAGATTACTATTTATAAATTATATTTTATTTCGTAACAAAAATATCTTATAGTCAAAAAGATCTTGAAATAATGCAGGAAAGTATACATCAAAGAAAGATGAATACATTGAGAATGCTGGGAAGCGAATCATGTAATCTAATCTTTTTCTTTTCCTTGAGCTTCTTAGATATGCAAGCTCTTAAAAGCAATTCATGTGAAAAACTCAAAAGGTTAAGCTATGTGAGTGAGCAGGAATTAAATATTAAATGCAAGTTTTGTTCACGCTGTGTACTAAAAGCCTAGCCATTAGGGCATGTTCCTTTTTTCTACCTTGAAAAAATAAACAGGACAAAATATATCTTAAACATGATTAAATTGCAAAGAGCACAACACTCGGTTGCCATGCTGTATATCTCCAGATTCTCCATGCGCTCTGTTCTATCAACACAACGCCTACAAACTGCAAAAATAATTACTGCCAAAGCCACACTAGGTGATTACATAAAAGTCTTCTAAAGAGCTACAAAAATTTATTTAATCAGGAATAATTAAATTAAAAACTCTGCTTACCTTGTAGAAAAACAGGTTTCATTTTTGTAGATTTTCTTTTATAGCATTAAGCCCAATACAAGTACGTGTTATGATCCAAGGAAATTTTACAAGCATAAAATTGCTATATTCAAATTATTCCTCTCTCACTTTTCAAATGCATTTTACAGAATAAATATTTCCCTAGGCCTTTCTGATATCTTTATATTTCAGATGGGCAAAACTACTTCAGAGATCAATTTCAAGACCTTGGAATGAGAAAGGAAAAGTTGACAAAGCCACAGAACATCTAGTATCCAACAGAAGTTCTCTTATCCTTAGCTGTAAAGAATGCTTCAATCTCTTCTGGATAGACAGGCACATCTTCTCATCTGTCTAACAGTCTTTAGACATTTTTAGAGTAAAATCAACTTCCAATCAAGAAAAGAAAACCATGCAAGCATGCCTACATTTGGACCAGAATCTACGTCCATGAAAACCAAAGCCCTTGTTTACTTACATGCTGTACATAAAAAGGAAAAGTTCAAAGAAACCTGCTCCCTCTGGGAGAAAGGATTACATCTACAGTCGGCTGTTGGGAAATGAGTGAGATGTTCTCTCTCTCTCTCTCTCTCTCTCTCTCTCTCTCTCTCTCTCTCTCTCTCATCCCCAGGCAATGAAAAAATCCCAACTGTTCTTCCAAGTCACATTCACAAGGACGTCCTAGCGCCACCAAGCTCTTCCTCCAGAGCAGCACCAATGATCAGGGGAGGCTCACCCCCTTCCTCTAGGTTCCCACCCATGCTGCGAGCTGCCTGCTCCGGGAAGGCGCCAGATTACAGCAGACGTGCAGACGGCAGAACCACACAGGGCCACACGTTCAGAGCCAGCTCGAGGAGCAGGAAACAGACTGCCTAACACACCTCAAGCTCCCAGAACAAACCGAAAACTTCAACCCCCCCACCCAAAGGGAAACTGTATTTTCCTTTCAACTCTGAACTAGTACAATAGCACATGCTAATTGTTAACAATACTGAGGGAAAAAAATCCCCCACACAGGAGAGGCTGACAGGGTCACACAAAGAGCTATGACAGTAATAGGCACCCTTACGGAGAAGAAAGCAATCAATTACGAACCATTTGCAGAAATTGCAGGGCTGTCAAAAGCCCTGGTTACAGCTGTGCTTCATCAAGCCAGGCTTCATTTGATTTTCAAGGGAAATTATTCCTTATTCGAAAGTCTAGAATACTTGTTAGTAAAATATCCTAAACAGCCCAGGTTCAACCAGGGTCTGATCTCAAGAGAAGTTAATGACCCCCGAGAAGAGCAGATGGGCCAGAGCAGGGGACCAGGAAAAGAGAGGCAGGTCTCTCCCTAAGGAGCAGCACCTTCTGTGGACATCCTGGGGACATCGCGTGGTGTGGCGGGGGTAGGGTGGGGAAGGGGCCCAAAAATCCACTCCCGGCACGTGCTTGGCACGTACCAGACAACTCCCAAACCACCATTTTAAAAACAGAAGAGGAATGCTTTCAGATATAACCTGATGTTTCTAGGAGATTTTGAAAAAAGAAAAAAAAAAAAAACCACTGACACAACAGGAAAAAAATTTAAATCCTTAACTTCGAAACTTCTTCTTTTTACTAATATCCATCACGATTATTACTTTTGGTTGTCACCCAAGAAACAAAGGACACATGAACTGAGTAACTGCTGGGCATTTCCCTAGGATCTTTTTAAAATGTACTGAAATCCATTATTAAATGTAGATATCATCATATCTGAAAAAAGGTATGGTGATCACTACTTTTGCAACATTCCCTTTGTAAATGTTCTGTTTAGTTACGAGAGCCACTGTCATATAAGAGTTGGAAATGGCCTTAACATGTTGTTTGTATATGTATTTTGCTGAATCTTAAATTTTGCAAGAAAATATAATTTCCTTAAGTACTTTAATGCATAATCCAAGCAGATAATAGCAGAGGGGAAACCGTTACCCCTAATGGCGTTAAGTGATTTCCCCCACTCTGCCATACTGGCCAGCGCCCCCGGTATACTCAGTTTAGACAGCCTGACTTCTTGAGTGTTTCCGGAGGATTTGCTTTTTTAAAAAGTTTAGGACAAGGCAATCAAAACACATCTATTTCATGCTCTAGGATGATCCATTGTTTTGTTAAAAAAAAAAACTGATGAATATTAGCTACGATATTGGGTTCCCAAAAGTAAATAACCCACCAGAGGTAGAACAGAGTAGTAAGACGGAAGATGCTGATAGATTTCAGTTTAGTGAGAAAAAAAAACTGCATCCTGGGGATATAACCAGACCGGCTGAGCATTTGGTTTGTATGAGGAGTTGGGAGGAAAGGGAGGAAGATTCTGGAGGAGGTGGGTGGGTGTGGGGGAGGAGTTCAGCGAGTGAGGACAAGAAGGGGAGAAGAGCGGGCGGCGGAGCACCTGTGGTGGCTGGAACCCTCTGGGATCCGCTCTGAGGCCGGCAGGCTCTGCCCTGATCCCCCTCACAGGGCACGTCCCCCGTCCCCAAGGGGTGAGCCACGTGGGTGTTCACCACGGGACTTGCTCCTGGGGTGTCAGTCTAAACTCAACTGGGGTGCCGCCCCACTTTGTAACTCTTATTTAAATACCTGTCATTGCTTGAATTTCCTCCATCCTTATTTTGTATTTATGGCAAAAGCAAGAAACATAAAAGTCACAATTTTAACATCAGTTAAAACTAGACTGGATATTAAAATAGATCTTGCCAATCAGACCGTTTCTGAAAGGACAGCTGACAAGGAACAGTTAAAAACACAGGAAAGGAATGGAATGTACCAAGTGCTACAGAGGATGTGGAGAGACCGGAACCCTCTACTTTGTTGCTGGGGATGTGAAATGGTGCAGCGCAGTGGAAAATGGCTTGGCAGTTCCTCAAAAAGCTGAACAGAGTTGCCACTTGACCTAGCAATTCTAGTCCTAGGTCTACACCCCAAAGAACTGCAAACAAGGACTGCAGCAGACACCTGTACGCCAGTGTTCCCTGCAGCATTACTCACAGTAGGCAAAAGGAGCAACAAGTGAATTGTCCACCAACAGGTGCACGAACAAACACAATGCGGCGGATCCACACGATGTTACATTATTCAGCCATAGAAAGGAACGAAAGTCTGACACGTGCTACACCGTGGAAGACGTTATGCTAAGTGCAATAAGCCAGAAACACAGGACAAATATTGTATGATTTCACTTATCTATCGGGTACCTAGGATTGGCAAGTAAGACAGAACATAGAAAAGAGGTTACCAGGGGGTTGGGAGAGGGGAAAACAGAGAGAGATTGTTCAAGGAGTACAGAGTTTCTGGGAAGATGAAAAAGTTCTGAAGATGGACGGTGCTGACGGCAGCAAGACAATGTGAATATACTCAATGCCACTGAAGTGTACACTTGACAATGGTAAAAATGGCAAATTTTTATGTTATATCTTTTACCACACAAAATGACAGCATTCCAAAAATAACTGATCGTCAGCCAAAAAAAAAATAAAAAAAAAAAGGAAAGGAATAGAATAGTAATTAACACCGAAGCTTAGGTTTTATTTGTCAAAACAGCCAAACAAAACCATCGTAGGGTGTGCATGGCAAAGTCAGCGTTACTCTTTGACGGCAACGCCCGAGGTCGTGGAGGAGTCGTGGCTAAAGTCGATGGGTTCCCATTAGCACTTCCCTCCAAAACAATAAATTAAAAAGGAAATTATTTAAGGGGAAAAAAAATGGGCCTAGAGATAGCACAACTCTATCTTCTTTTTCCTCTCAGGTTAAGGTGGGAATTAAGACTTGCTTGCCTGGTCTCGGTTTGCGATTTGGGCCAGCATCTTACCCTGAACGTCTGCTCCATTTTCTCCCTGCGGGAAACCTGATCCAGAGTCCCATCTGTCTGACTCCTTTTCAGACCTGTTGTGATGTCAGGGACGTTGCTGAAATCTGCATGAAGAAATGACAAAAATGTATGAGTTTGGCCATTTGCAGAGAGTAGTAATGACTGGTGCAAAGGCTCAGATAGAGAAAGAGGAAAGAAGCAAAACCACCTAGAAGGCAGAACATAGCAGTCCTTAGTGAACAGGAACAGTTACAATATCCACAGAGCTGGTCTCCTGCAGCAGATCAGGGCTCTTGCTAATGGAAGAAGCAACATCTTCTGCCCATTTTGGTCAAAGGAGACCAATCAAAATAATGACTTAAATGCCTGTCACTCTTCCTGTTGCTATGCAAATGATACTTCACGAAGCTTTGATATTCAGTAATTTATTAGACCAAGAATCAAACAGTAGCAACCTTTGGTGGTATTTCCCCATTTTTGGCCAAGTGAGGACAAAATGACCAGAGATATCTTGGAAACCAATGATGTAATTTCTTATGTATCATAATCCACAACTTGCTCATTTGCAAGTATGGTTCTTTTTTTTTTGGCATCAACCACAATTTCATCCTAACTTGAAAGCTCCAAGAAGCACAGAAAACCCTTGTTAACTTCCAGTGTAAAGGTTAAGAAATAACACCAAAGGTGAGTAGAGCACATGGTTTTCCAGGCTACGAGTGTACACACATCTCGCCCTCGACAATCTTCTCCAAGAGAGATGGGAAGACCAGCCTCTATAGAAACATAACATAGGTTTTCATTCTAATTGTTGTATTTGATAGAATGTCCCCTCAACTAGGTGAAACCAGATGGTTTCTGGTTCCTGTAGCTACAACAAGAAATCGACCTGAGTTGATCTAGGCCCAGAAGGCATGGATAAGCTTGCTGACAAAGCGTGCAGTGTGCAGGGAGGGCAGGGACGACGGTCTCCGGAAGACCTTTAGGAGGCTGACACAACTGATGGGGGCAACGCTAGTAGCTGACTCACGCTGTTATCACCAGCCACCACACAGGCACTCACTCTGAAGACAAGAGGAGGGCTCCAGAAAACATCTTAATGGTCTACAGAATTCTGCAAGTCTAATTTCTTCTTTCTTCTTCCTGTTATATCTTGCAACACCTTGATCTCACCCAGAAAAGGATCAGATATATAATCCAGGTTACACTTCAATGCTATTGGCTGTAGAGTTAAGTTTGCCTAGAGAAGGCAGTGCTGATCACAAAAGCATGAGCTGTCCCTGGGGAAATCTCAGGCAGCACTGTCAAGCAAGGACACTTGGGCCTGCTTCCCCCGTGCCCCTGATGCCATACCATGGAGGCAGTCCCCTCGCCAGCAGGCTGACTCCATGGGAAGTAAGATGAGACCCCCAGCCAAAAGTGTTCCACCTCTGTTCCTCCACTGCTGCCTCCTTATCTGATGTGTGCACCTTTGTTTAAGGGAGACCAACCTGAACAAGTCACAAAAGAAACAGCCCTCATTCCCACTTCATAAGTGCATCTCTCCATCCATCCCTTCGACAAGCACGTTTTGAGCACAAGCCCTTTTCCAGGTGCTGCACAGGGTTGGGAGGCAAAGTGAGCGGACTGCCCTCAAGGTCCGCCGCTGGTCTGGAGAGGTGGGGCGGGGGGGGCAGAGAGAGGAGCACAGCAAAGTGTCGCGAATGATAGCAGAAAAGTCCACCAGGGCTAAGAGGGGACACTCAGGAAGGAATTCTGCCCTTGGGCCTTAAAGGACTTCACAGAAGACACCTGAGCCAAGTCTTTAAATCTGAGGGTTGTTTGTTTATCTTCAATGCTGACGATGACAAGGCAGGGTGGGCAGCAGAGAGGGGCTTCTGGGAACGGGAAGTGGCCTGGGTGAGGGAGCCAAGCACCACCTAGAACCTGCGGAGAGTGGCCGGGGAGGGACGGGGCCCGGATGGAGAGACGGACGGGGGCGCAAGGGCGTCACAGCCACGCTGCAGGTCCGAGGCGTGAGCACCCAGACGAACGCAGAATGGAGTAACAGCAAAGAGTAGGCAATTGCACAGAGTCTGTCGCCTATCAAATACGAGAAGACACGGAAGCGAGAGGCAGCAAGGGAGATGCCTGGCTTTGTGTTCAGTCACTGGGTGGATGGGGACACAGGAAGGGGTGGGGTGGGAATAACCAGCTTGGCTTCCACAACGCTGAGCTTGTGGTCGTTGTGGGCCACCCAGTGGGAGATGCTCAGCGGCCAGGCAGTCCCAGGGCCAAAGCCCAGAAAGAGATCTGGATTTGGGAGTCATCAGAATGCACCTTCACAGCAGTGAAGCCAATGGGATAAACGGTGCCCACCGGAGAGAACACGAAGTTTGACATGAAGAAGACCAAGGAGAGAACCATGAGAAATGCCAGTGCATGAGGGGCACAGGAGAGGAAAGCCCTCAGCAAGCTGCCTTTGTTTTTATAGAGAATCAAAAGACAGAGAAACATAAGGAAATCAAAACACAGCAATGTCACAGAAGCCGTACAGTGTAGAAGTACATTACCTAGGTAACAGAATCCAATTTGCATTATGCTGCCTTTACTCTGTAAATAAGGAGTTTTGGTATCTCCAAAGAGTTATATCAAGCACAGGAAACACGACACCATCCACACGAGCACTCACTCATGATGAAGATTCCAAGCACCTGCCGTGCCTCGGGTCCACACCGAGCACTGGGGACGCAAAGGTGAACAAGACCTTGAGTCCCACGAAGAGCTCAGACACAGCAAGGGCACAGGAGCTCTGCAGCCTGAGGTGCCGGATGGAAGCTGGTGAAAATAGCATGGCTGATGTCACCAGTGGCTGCCAAGTGAATTCTGAGTCATCTGAAGTCAATACAGTCCCAAAACTTTGGAACTTAAACACTGAAAACTCCTTAAACCACTGTTCGCCTCTCACAAAAGAGGCAAAAAGGTACTCATCCACTTACTGAGAAAGGCAGGCTTGCTTCAGGTACGCAAGAGAAAGGGCGCAACACTGACCTGGTAACGGAACACTCGCACCCTTCCCGTCAGAACTCTCCACCCCAGGATCCGTGAGGCTCCCAATCTCCTTCAATGACCCTTAACTTTGGGAGGCTTTGGGTGCTCCTGGCTCCTCTCTCAGGCATGAGCTTAGACAGGGTGGCCAATGGGAACCAAGTCTGTTGAGGTTGGCCCTGGGGACCCAGAGGAGAAGGCAGCTCTGGAAAGTTCCTGAGATCTGCCAAGACACGAAATCTCAGAGCTGTTCCGCCACCCAAGTTGCAGAGGCAGGATGGTATCTGGCCACGCACAGAGTCCCCGCGGTGACTGGCCACACACCAGCGCACCCTGGAGATGACACAGCACGGGGGGGCCAAGCTGGACAGTGTCCATAGCTACTGACCGCTGACTTTGGGAGTCTCAAATTTCACCAGGACCTGCATCCCGGTAAAAGGAGGGTGCCCTTAGTGTTCTTTCTAGAGGAGACATGACCTAAAAGTTCATTCTGGAAGAATAGAAGACTGGCTAAAAAAGGAATGTAGGCTGGTAAAATCTGAATGCTTATTTACAAAGCTGCTTTAAACAGGCATCCTGGCCTGGGTGCCAAATGCCTATACACGGCCCCCCTTACATTCCGCCCACGTCCTGAGCACCAGCTGCTAAAGTGAGTAAATATATCCTGCTCCCTCCCAGTCGAAAAACTGGCTTCCCACCTGGGAGAGCCTGCTCACCGTGGTGAATGCACCGTGTGGGTTTCAGGGGCCCTTTATCCCTAACAGATAGCAACAAACATGCGCTCCCTGCCCACCCAGCGCGGCACCGGGCAGAGGTTCAGACACACTCCAGAAGAGTCTCTGGCCACCGTGACTGTAAATGATGAAAAATAACCAAATAATATATTCAAAGTCAAGAGATCTATTTGTATCTGGTAAACATATCCTTTTGTCTTTCTCATCGTATTCCTTGGGAAAACTAACAGTTTGGGGTGAAGTCTAGCAATTTGAAAAATCTAACAGTTAACATGGCCAACAAGAGCTTCCATTAGTGATCGAATGAGCAGAGCTGCTATGTCCCAAGTTATAGTCCAGGCTCCTCCATTTGGACCTACTCATTCCATTTACTGACTCCCTCATTCGGACGGGTGCCAGACGCTGTGTACCCACCAACTGCAAAGGCACCACACAGGTGCCGCAAGAAGAACAGAGCCAGCCATCTCTCCCCTTTATTCAACAAATATTTTTTGCAGAAGGACGACACACCAGGCAGGCTAGCGTGGAAAATGCCTGCCTCCCTACCCCTCCGCGTGGCCTACAGTTCCTTACAGACAACTGGGGAAGGCAGGAGGCTTTAGGTACGAGACACCTAGTAATTCAGCTTCTTCCTGAACTGTGTGTCAGCACATGCCCCACCGGCACCACTGTCAGGCAAGTAGCTGACAACCCCAAATCCTTTACAATTAAAGGGCAAAACCCGTGTTAAAGTCACATCCTGGGTACCAACTTAAAAATAGAAACATCAAGAAATGTTAAGGTTGTCTCACCCACACAGCTCATAATCTGAATTCAAAATTTACACAGTTACATCACTTTCAAATCCAACCTAGCACAGTTAATATGCAAAAGTGTGGGTTCTGCCATTTATACCTCCTGTTGCCCAAGAAGCACCAGGTTATGCAGGTGTTCAACCTGCCGTGCACAGGGGGGCACTCTTTGGAAATGGGTGGCATTGGGAAGCCTGGGAGAAGGCTCAGCAAACGTGGCAATGCCCCTTGCTGGCCTCAAACCTGCAGCTAATCCTAAGGAAGAATGACTCCCCTCAGCAGGTGGCTATAGTGTTTTGTTCATCTAGCTGATGTCATCCCATAAGCCCTAGTCCTGCTGGCTGCCTCCTCCTTACTCAATCAGGTAGCAAGAAAATAGGCAGCTAAATTCTTCCCAGCTCCTGGACATCCACCCCGGTGGCTGTCAGCAGACCCTGGGGATACCAGGCAGCTTCTGGGTGTGAGGAGGGGTGGGGAGAGTGGTTCTGCCTTTACAGCAGCCAGCATCAGGCCTGAGGACAGACAGTTCGTTCCTAGGAAAAGAGATCTAAGAAC